GTCTTGTGGTCTGTCTGGAGCTGAGCTGAGCACGTAGGCCAGACTTTGCAGGGAGTTATGGATAAAAGCAGACTGTGGTTTCTATCTGTCTGTCTGTAGATCTGTCCAGTTCATTTGTTTGTTCTTATTACATGGGCTTTTCTGGGTGGTTGTACCATTATCTTACCTTGGTTTTTTGCTGTCTGCAGGCTTCCGTTGGCAAACAGAGAGTATATCAAAACCGCAGGGCTGCGGTCCACAGTTGGGCCATGGCATCTCTGGCTGAAATCAGCGTAAGTGGGCGTTCATGGCAAAGATGTAGAGTCCTGAATGAAGGAGGGGATTGCTGCTTGTCACAGCTGGTGCTGGAAGCTTGGGAGAAGTGTGGTGATTTTAATGCCCTGTGCTCTAATGGATGTGGGCAGGGTTTGCCTCGTCTCTGGTCAGAGTGCGCTGCCACCTGCTGTTCAACCAGATATCTGCTGTAATCCCGGGTCCTCCTCAGGAGAGGTATTAGTCCTTGTATGGATATATATGTCTAAATGGCAAGATTTTTTCACTGTCCAGGCTTCAAACCTTGTTTGGGGTTGTTCTCCCAAAAGAAAACAGAAGCAAGTGTGATGTTTTCCACAGATTAATTTGGTACCAATACCCGTCTGCAGTCAACTCGTAATTTGTTTTCCTAAGTGTCACCTCAAGGCTAGATGCATTGATGCATTGTCTTTAGTGAAACTATCGATGCTTTCTACTCTGCTCTCTTATAGGCAGGTTTGGCCTGGTAAACCAGTGGTTGCTGTTACCTAGACTGGATTCAGTGGGAGTTTGTAGGTGTTCTGTGCATCCCTGAGGAGGCTTTGTCCCGGGAGAGGAGTCTGTCTTGCGTGGGATGCCATAACCCCTTTGGTTTTGCAGGCGGGTGCCTTTGTGCTGGATCCCATGTGTGGGCTGGGGACGATACTGCTGGAAGCTGCCAAAGAGTGGCCCGTGAGTATCGCAGTGGCACAGGCAGGACCTTTGCAAGACGCGTTGTACTTGCATCAAGAGAAGTCTGTACCACAGGGATACCAGAGTGCGTGAGTGGAAAGCTGGAACCAAACTGATCTTTCTAGACAGTTGTTAGAAGTGTCCTAGTACAAATGTTCCTCCACAGGAACGTAAACCAAGGTCCTGCGCAGTTGTGCAGGCAGGTGCTGGCAGCCCTGGATTTGTACTGCAGGGTTGGTGTGAGGCAGCCATGGACTTTGAAAACTGCCAGGGCTTATCCTGGGAATGGAGGTGTCAGTGGGACAGTACGGTCGGTTGCCAGTATTAGAGGCAGTGTGGCTGTCTGTAGCTAGCTAGGGTCTTGCTGTTAGGACATAGCCTCAGTATTTCTGAAAGTTACAAGTGTCTTGAGCAGACCAGAGCATGGAAGGAGTGAAGATAGCACAGACTTCACCCATTCATCTGTCCGCTGGGTCTATGGATTGCTCTGTGTAATGGCAGTGGATCTCCCAGCGAGGATTTCATGGTGGAAGGGCTGTGCAACAAGGCAGTTCTGAGAAGGGTTTGTAAAATAAATACATCTGTTTGGCAACTAGATGACTTTTCTGTTTTTTCTCTGAACAGGAAGCCTGTTACTGGGGTGCTGATGTAAGTGATTCACAGTTAGAGGGCGCAGATGTGAATATAAGGACTGCAGGCCTGATGGATAAGATTGAGTTACTCAAAGCTTCTGTGAAATGTATGTCTTTGGCTTCCCAGGCAAGACACGTTGGAAGTTTTTTGTGGTTCTGGGATTATACAGCTGATGTAGGTTCTCTTGAGGCGATGTGTGGTAGAGCTAGCTCTCAACCAGTAGCTGAGTAGAGACGCTGTAGCGCTAGCAAACGGGTAATTATTTGTTCTCTCCCCCTCTGAACTTTGGCAAGAATAAACTCAGCAGAAGACAATGAAAATAATTGTCAGACATGGGCAGTAGTTGTCTGTCTTGATGGTAAATGTGGGAATACCACTACGAGTACCTACCACGTGAGAGTTTTTTGTGTCTTAGGGGAACACAGCAAGGACAAATCTAGATAAAATGTGGCTTGTAACTTAAATTTACCAGAGGAGAATAGCAGGGACTCCTTAAGCTCAGTGTTAAATTGTTAATGTTTTGCAGTAGTAAATGACGATGCCTTTTTCCTGGATGTGAGGGAATGTGTTTACTCTCAGTTCCTGAGCTAGTCTGGGGAGAACGTAGTAATTTTATGACCTTACTTGGGACCTCAAAGCCTGAGTCTAAATTAGTCCTGTATGAAATTTCTGACAGACAAAAGCTGGGTGTTTTTCCCTGTGCGCGGATGATGGAAGTATACATTTTTTTTCACCTTGCAATATTTATTCCTACCAGAATGGTAAGGAATATTATTTCTTATTGATAAGAAAATATATAGTGCTTTATTTCTGTACTGAAAAGCTGTGATTGGCCTAGGCTTCTAGGATAACGGAAGGTGCTTTGATGTCAAGCTTTTCTAATACTGAGCAAGTAATTGGTGTCTTTGTCACTGGTCAGTATTATTTCTGCATATTTTGAGAAGGACTGTAGGCAACTTGCCCTTCCATTTGTAGATAAAATTGTTACAGAACTGTTATGCTGCAAGAGGTGCTCCAAGGATGGTCCAAGAAGCATCTCCATCCAGATCTAGAAAGGCTGGAGCAGAATCACAGCAGGGTTTAGGTGGGAAGGGACCGCCGAAGGTCTTTAGTCCTGTCACCTGCTCGAAGCAGAACTAACCCCAAAGCTGGATCAGGTTGCTCAGGGCGTTGTCCTGTCGAGTTTTGAGCATGCTGAGGGATGGAGAACCCATAGTCTCGTCCTTTCACGTGCTGGCTATGCTCTGGCCAGCACAGCGTGGTATGTGACCGGCCTTCATCACCACAAGGATGCAGTGCTGCCTCACGGTCAAGAGAACTGACTGTTCCAGGGTGCACAAACTCTGGGGAGATGCTTCAGAGACACAAGCTCGGAGAGAATCCAAGTGATTCTGGCTGTAACCAGACTCTTGGGGGGAAAAAAGGGGGACAGAGAGGAATTTAACATGTGTTTCCTTGCCATTCATACAGGTGCACGTGAACATCTGGAGTAAGTTGCTTGCAAGCTTAACTCCTCTTTTGCCTTTTGCTTGTAAAGACGTGCTGTGTGTTGAGAAGAGGCAGTTAGCTTGGACCCATGCAGTCCCCTGTTTAGAGAATTGTGCTATTGGGGCAAACTTATCACCAGTAACAGAGAATCTGCAAGCTAAACCACGCTCTCATGCATTTGTTTCTTCCCAGTCTGCATTGGGTTGGTGGCTTCCTCGTGCTTTTGGTGAGGATAGGTGCAGAAGGAGCCATGAATCTGGGTGCATAACCTGTGAAAGAGCTGGCAGACAGTTTTGTAAGGCGAATGGAAGCGTAGCTGCTGTTCGTTTTTCCCCATAGTCAGATGTGAAGACCTGCCTTTATTCTGCAGTGTTGCCGTTGCCTTCAGAAAGCTTTGACGCTGTGATTTCGGGTATTCCGTTTGGGAAGAAGCTCAAGATCACAAAAGACATACAGCTCCTACTGGATGTTCTCCAGGAAATGGAGAGGTACCTGTGGCCTTTGACATGCTTGGGGTTTGGTTTGCGATCCTAACCATTCAGTCAGCTTTATGTTTGCTTTATTCCCAGCACTCTCCAGCTCTGTAATCTGATCCTGTGCAGGCTGTGGGAGTCCGAGTCCTTTCCTTGTCCCTTAGAGGCTGTGGTGGCTTGTTGTGCAAGCCGTGGAAGTGCTGATGGTAGTCCAAGCTGACAAGGAATGAGCTGCTTGTGTGAGCCACACTCACAAATATTCTCTACAAGGCAGACAGGAGAAGGAGGAGAGAATGACCTAGACAAACTTAAAGCATGGCCAGGTGAATAAAGCAGCAGTCCTTTCTCAGTTGAGGTCTGATTGTATAAAATCATAGGCTTTCCTTTTGGGTTCACAACCCAGCTTTTACCAAGCTTCCTGCCTTGGCAGGAAGGATCTCAGACCAGAAAGTGGTCGTATGCATTTTCCTTTCTGTTAGCCTGTACTGGAATGTCCAGCTACCCACCTGGTCTGCTTTTAGATGCCTCCTTTCATCTCTCACCCTGTCATTTTGTGGCAGGGTTGAGCCAAGCTAAAAGCGGGCTGCTTGTAACGGGCAGTTCGAACCATCTGCCCCTGTATTTCTTTTCTTGGCTGAAAACAAGCCCTCTCTGTAGGACTGGTCTTCAATGGGCGTTGGTCTTGCTCACCCAATGCA